GGGGGCCCCCCAGGGGCCCCCCGGTAGCAAGGAAGAAATATAAAGTTATATTTATATTAAATTCTACATTTAAAAATATATATTCTGAAAGATATTAAACCCTAAACCCTAAACCCTAAACCCTAAATATTAGAGGTTTACAGCCCCACGACGCCGGAGTGTTGTAGCTACTAAACCCTAAACCCTCGCCAGCACAGAAACCCTAAACCCTCAGTACAAGTAAACCCTAAACCCTAAACCCTAAACCCTCAGAACCAGTACACTCAAAACCCTAAACCCTAAACCCTAAACCCTAAACCGTAGGCCGGGAGCTAGCACATAACTTAGGGCCAACTGCTGCTCCTCAACCCTAAACCCTAAACCCTAAACCCTAAACCCTAAACTTCGCACCCTAAGCGGAGAGAACACCCTGTGTAAACCCTCAAGCCTACGACTGTAAACCCTAAACCCTAAACCCTAAAAAATACATTTCTTATCAAACCAGGGCAGCACGCCTCCAGCCCCTAAACCCTCATCAACTGCGGCTCTAAACCCTAAACCCTAAACCCTAAACCCTAAACCCTAAACCCTAAACCCTAGACCATCAGCAGTCTTTCCGACAACCGGTGCACTTCTAAGCACTAAACCCTCCACACCTGTGCCTCCAAACCCCAAACCCTAAACCCTAAACCCTAAACCCCAAACCCTAAACCCTAAACCCTAAACCCTAAACCCTCGACGCGATGGTGTTTTACGAGCCGAAACCCAAAAGTTGCAATTTGCCGATTTCTTCGCCGCGCCATTTAATAGGCGGGCTGAAGCTTGGCTCCTTAAATATATATCCGATGGCTAGCCAGCTAGCCAGCTAGCTAGCTAGCTAGCTAGTCAGCCAGCTAGCTAGCTAGCTAGCTAGCTAGCTAGCTAGCTGGCTAGGTAAAAAAAAAGAGGGCTCTATGCAGCAGCCCTTGCACTATGCATAATCTATGGCGTTTCCTTCCCTTTCCCGATTCCGCCCAAAAACCTATCAACTCACCCACCCACCAACCCAGCTAGCTAGCTAGCTAGCTAGCTATCTCTCTCTCTCCCTCTCTATCTCTCTCTATTTATTTATTTATTTGAGTAATGTAGGCATCCTGGGTGCAATAGCATCAATAGCGTTTCTACTTAAGCCTACTTCTCTAGCTACAGCATAGAAAGCCTCAGTGTAGCTAGCTGTCTTCATCGCCGTTCTTCTTATTTCATTTGCCCCCCAACCCTTTGCTTTTAGCTTCTCTCCGAACTCTTTAAACGCCATAGCTTCTCTAAGAGATACGGGGCCCCCATGGGGCCCCACTGCAGCACGAAGATCTGCGTAGTTGCTGCTGTGAAGCAAAGCGCGAAGCCGAGACATTGCTGCTGCTTCCTCCATTAGCATCTGACGCTGCTGCTGCTGACGCCATGCAGGCCATTGCTGCTGCTGCTGCTGCTGCTGCTGCTGCTGTTGTTGCTGCTGTTGGTATGGTGATGCTGTTGTTGTCGTTGTTAAAGAACGCGGGGATGGAGGGGGGGGACCTGTTCTACGCGCACGGGTGCGAGAGCTGTTGCTGCTTCCTGCTGCTGCTGCTGCTGCTGCTGCTGCTGCTCCTGGGCCATAGGTAGGAGGGGCTATCGTTCCCTCCAGTTGTGGTGCTGCTGCTGCTGCTGCATCGGAGTCATCTTCATGCATATTGCTGCTGCTTTGTGCTGCTTCTTCTTCTGCTGCTTCTGCTGCTGCTGCTGCTGCTGCTGCTGGTGCTGTCGTTTCTTCTGCTGCTGCTGCTGCTTCTGTTGCTGCTGCTGCGTCGCCTTCTTCATTCTCCTCCTCTGCTGCTGCTGCTGCTGCATCTCCTGGTGCTGCTGGTGTTAGAAACCCGTCAGGTGCTGCTGCAGGAGTTGATGCGTCGCTGCTGCTGCTGCTGCTGCTGCTGCTGCTGCTGCTGTCTGCTGCTGCTGCATCTGCTGCTGTTTCGTTGGGGAGGAGAATACTAGTAGACGTAGAAGAGTCTTGCTGCTGCTGCTGCTCGTCCTGCTGCTGCTGCTGCTGTTCTGGCTGCAGCTGTAGCTGTTGCTGCTGCTGCGGTTCTTCTTGCTGCTGCTGCTGTTCTTGCTGCAATTCTTGCTGCTGCTGTTGCTGCTGCTGCTGTTGCTGCTCAGCAGATGGTATTTGAGTTGCTGCTTCTGCTGCTGCTGCTGCTGCTGCCTCCATCTCTTTTGCTGCTGCAGCAAGAGGTGCTGCTGCTGTGTACTCATATGGCGGCTTTAACGCCTG